GCTGCTTCAGCCCTGGAGCTCAGAGGGAGTGAGCCAGAATAAATCTGTGTCGGGGCCCTTTAAGAGGAACTGCCTGGGCACCAGCAGCCTCTGTGCCACTCAGCCACAATTCCCACTGGTTTTCACAGCCAGAAGTTATGGGGACTTCTCTTCCCAGCTCTGGAACCCTGGGCTGGGGGTCTGGTGTTGGCCTGGGACCCCTGGATCTTCAGAGTGACCTCTGCAGCTGAGATAGCCTTCCTGTTTTTAACCAGCACGTGTGGGTGTGGGCCCAGCCTCCTACCAGTCTCAATGCGGCCGCGTCTTTCCATCCTGAGTCGTGGGACTTCTGTTCAGCTACGGTTCAGGTGGTTAGGAATGACGGTGGTTCTGTAGTTCAGTTGTATTTTTGATGTGGTTGCGGGGGGTTTCGATTCCTGCATTTACCTATGCCGCCATCTGGACTGGAAGCGCCAGACAAAATTTTTAACATGACCCAGGCCCTGCAACATCTGGCTTGGTCCCCACTTTTCAGCCTCATCTTCATCACTCTTCTCTGCACGCCCACAGCACTTAGAGCCCTTTTCATTGCCGGGTCTTTCCGGAGGGTCCACTGTGAGCCCAGGAGACGCTGAGCTCCCTGAAGACAAGAGTCACATCTGACACGTAGCAGCCCTCTCTCTCCACAACCTTCCAGGCTAATGCCAACCTGGCTGGTGTGGGCACTTAAAGCCATTGTTGGTTTGGGTCAGAGCCTCTTTTTTGTCCTTTACTTTGGCAGTAAATACCCCTGCCTTTCCCTCCCTTGCCTCGCTCAGCTGCCAATCATAGGAAGGTGGGGAGGGGGGACATCCCATGAGTGGCTCCCCATTTTTCTGCTGTTGCCAGTACTTCGCAGGTGGAGTTGACCTTGTGTTCCCAAATCATCTCAGATGTTGGCACAAAACAGCTCTCTCCCCACAACCCTTCCAGGCTAATGCATCGAGTCAGATCTGGAGGCCTCGGGCCGATTTTCCAAACGTGATCACTGCCATCCGCTGACCCTGAGCAGCTGGGACCAGGGCCTGTTCTCCCTCCCCTTCCTCTTCAGCTCTCTCAGGGTACCGTGTGGGCCTTGGCAAATTCTGTCTCTTTTAATATTCCCTTTCATATGAGCCGGGCTTACCCAGATTAGCATATTTCATTAAGGGCTCTCTCTCCCTTTCTTCATCAAAGGGTTTATGATGCAAAATATTCTTCTTACAGAAATAAGGCAGCGGCTGGGGAGATGCCAGTGCCTCCTGCTCTGTGGGCTGCTTACGGGAGGGGCATGGAGCCTTTGGTTTGCAGGAGACACAGTCACTGTGGAGGGGCATTCCGGACAAGAGCCACATCTGGAGCACTGAGCGGCCTGCGCTTGGGAAACACGTCCATTCTGCGTCTCTGATCTCCTTGACCGCGTTCTGAGCCTGCGTGACCATCTCTCTGCAGCTCCCAGCACCATCCCTCTCCCAGCCACACTCTAGCTCACACGGATGACATGTCACACAGGCCGGCTCATGCTGTGGTGGCCGATGGCCGGTGCCACGAGGCTGCCTACCGGGTGTGGAGGCCATCCTCAGAGAACCCGCCCCGGCTGCTTGCGTAGGGAACAGGGGCAAAATGTGGCGCCTGCATTTGTAACTCCGCACAGTGTCCTCATGGTAGATTCATGAGGACGCTGCGGCCTGTCATTCAGCCTCCACGTGTCATTACTCAGCTGCCCGGGCAGGAGAGCCGGCGGGCGCGGGTGGCTTAGGAAGGGGGGGCTTGGGAACCTCCCTGGGAAGATTAGCATGAGAACCGGGCAGGAACCGGGCAAAGGCACAGTTGGGGCAACGAAGGAGGTCGGGACAGGGGCAGGGAGCGCAGAGGCACAGGCCGGGGCCGTGGAGGATTAGAATGTGCCAGGCTCCGTGCCAGGCACCACCACACCCTTACAGCCCCCAGGGAGTGCATGCTGCTGTCTGCTTGATGGACAGAGAGATGTCCCCGGACATTGGGTAGCTGCTGAAGGTCACCCGGCTCTGACCTTGGTCAGCCTGTTCTGCTCTGATGGCGGGCCTTGTTCCACTGTTCCACACGCAGGAAGAAGGTCTAGGTAAACACACACACACACACACACACACACACACACACACACACACACACACACACACACACACACACACACACACACACACACACACACACACACACACACACACACACACACACACACACACACACACACGCACACACACACGCATCTCCCTCCTCCCTCTGCGTCGTCCATCCGTTCCCTAGGAGACCGTCTCAGGTCCCATGTGATAGCCGGTGGTGCGTGATGCGGATTGCGTGGCGCAGTGCGGTGGCCCTGGAAGCATGTGTGTGCAGTGTGTGTCCTCACACCAGCTGCGCTGCATGCTCCCAGGGCAGCACTGTGTCTGCGATTCCTGTTTCTCTCCTACCACAGGGCGGTTACATGACCTGCGGAAGGTGAAGGCACTCAGTACACGCTGCTGGCTGACAGACACAGGCCTTCAGGCCTGCAGGTCCCTGGGCTGTGACCTAGAGGAGGAGGGACTTGCATTACTAAGGATTTCCCACAGCCTGTGCGAGGTGGTCTCAGCTCTCAGAGCTCTCCAGCCGCGCACCCCACCTCCCCCGGAGCTCGCTGGGCTCCCGGCCTGACTCCAGGGGTCACCTGTGGCTCTCCCGCACTCCTTCTCCTAAAGGCGGGGCGGAGGCCGTGGGAGTGGGATGGTCTGGGGAGCCCCACCCCGAGGCTGGGGGACTGGGCCAGGCGCTTCTCTGTGCTCTTGACGGGCTTTCTTTCTCTCCAGGTGCAAAGCCCCGGGGAAGGGAGGGTCTGAGGTGCTTTCATTGCCTCGCCCGCCACTCTGCCTCCCTGCCCGGCGCCCCCAGCTCTGGGGTGGGCATGGCAAGTCCTCACACTGCAGGGAACCGGAGGGGGCGGTGAAGCCGCGGACAGGCTCTGGAATGGCATCTTCCCTTCCCACCTCCTGTGCTGCCGTCCAGACGTGTGATGTTCTCAGCTTTGCTCGGCCGAGCGCTGCCCCAGGAAAGGTTCCCACACATTACGGAGTGGCCTCTGGAGGGGAGCAGGCGGCATGGGAGGCGAGGACAGGGAGGCCGGTGCACAGAGCAGTGGGCAGGGGTGGGGGCGCCAGCCCTGGCACCCACTGCCCACCCCAGCTGTGAGGGCAGACAGGGCGGCCGGACAGCCTGCACCACCACCCAGAGACGTGGACCTCAGGCACACCTGTCCCTGCCTGCCTGGCTTCTGGGCCTGAGAGTCCTGAGGAGTGAGCTGGGCACGGTGGCTCCACCCCATGTCCCTGCGGAGGGCCTGCTGCTCATCACCTCCTAACCGCTCCCTTCCCACGGCGCCTGCTGCTCCAGCCCCCTGGGAGCCGGCCGCTGCCAGGCTCTCGGTGACCCTCCCAGCGAAGGAAAGGCTCAGCCGGAGCGCCCGCCCCCGCCGGGCCCCAGAGCACGGCCGGTCTTCTTGCCCAGGAAGTGGCTCTGCGACCCCTCGACCCCTGGGCTGGAAGGCCACTCCCCGCAGGGCGCACAGGCCCTGCCCTCCCTCTCCCTGAATCCAGGCCCCTCGCCTCTCCAGCTTCCAGACCCAGCTCAATGCGGCCTCTGCAGGATCCGGGGGATGCTTCTCTGACCCCCCGGGGCAGCCCCCCTCGGCACCCCCTCCTGCACGCAGGGCGAACTCGGGTGCAGGCTTTTCTCCCCAGCGAGACCGTCAGCTTCTCGTGTAGAAACCGCATCAAACACGGCCAGGTGCCCTGGGCAGAGGGGCTTCTCCATGTGACTTCTCAGCTCAGAGCTGCGCCTCCGTGTCTCCCTCCCACTCGCACAGCCGCGTGGAGCACCTGCGTGGGGCGCTGTGCTGGGTGCGGGAGCACAGCGGGGCCAGGGCTGGGCAGCCCAGGAGCGCGCTCTGTGCTAAGGAAGGCAGGAGGGGGCTGGAAAGCTTTGGGGGGAACTGAAATCTTGGACCTCGTCTAAGGCCCACGAGATGAGGCGGGCTGGCAGGGACCCAGACTGTTTTGTGTTTAAACGATTTGAAAAGCGTGCACAGCTGCGGGAGCGAACCCTAAGGCACAAGAGGGTCCGGAACGAGAAGCTGTTTTCCTCTCGCTCCTGCCCAGGGGCCACCCAGGGCCCTCACAGGTCAGACCCGCCCTCCCTCCCCCGTTGCCCATCCATCAGGTGCCACCCTGAGAGTCACACAGACGTGCGCACAGACGCCCGCACCTCACTTGGGCATGGTTCACGTTCCAGGCCTCTTGTCCCTCTGGGACCCCTCTCCCCGACCATGCCCTCCCCCCACCCGTTCCCCAGAGACCCAGGGCCACTGTCCACTCGCCCACAGGGTCACCGTGGTGGGCAGCCTCGCAGGAGCTGGCTGCGCCCTAGGGGAGGGCCTTGGGAGAGTTCCTCTTCCAGGGACTCCCACCCACCAATGACCCAACCCATTCTCGGCAAGGAACAGCTGTCCAGCTCCCTCCCAGTCACCGCATCGTCCCAAACCAGACGGGCTGGTCACCCGCCAGTCGCTGTGTCTCTGACCCACAGCCACAGGCCCAGGCCCAGGTGACCCGCCAGCCACCATGTCTCTGACCCACAGACAGCCCCAGGCCCAGGTGACCTGCCAGCCACCGTGTCTCTGACCCACAGCCACAGCCCAGGCCCAGGTGACCCGCCAGCCACCGTGTCTCTGACCCACAGACAGCCCCAGCCCAGGCCCAGGGCCTTTGAATTGCTTTAAATCTGCCCACTCTGTGGGCTTCCAGGGGCAGCACTGGGACCCCTCCCCCTTGGCTGTGGACCCCTGCCTGCTCCCTGGGTTCCCAGTCCCACCAGTGTCCCTCCCCTTGGGAGCCACAGGGGCTGCACACTGGTGCGTCCTGGCGTGCCCGCCTAGAGGGCAGCCCTGAGGCCCTGGCGCTGTCCCGGGGGCCCAGGTGGCCCAGCACGGGTACCTGACTTGTTCTTGTACTCGATGTCGAAGCCGGTGATGATGCTGTTTCCGTCGAACCGCTGGGTCCAGCGCAGGTTCATGCTCCGGGCCTTCACCTCCCGGATCTCCAGCTCTGGGGGGTCGGGGGGCTCTGGGCGGGGCGGGGCGGGGGCAGAAGTGAGGCTGGCAGCAGAGAGCTTGGCCTCCTGTCCACCCCAGGATGCCCGGGGTTCTGTGACCCCTGGGGGTTAGTGTGACCTGTAGTCTACCCTGGAGTGTGGGCCAGGTGAAGCAGGGAGAGGCCTGGCACATGGTTCGGCAGGGGATCCCCACTTCCTTTCCTGGGAGAGGGCAGCCCCTTTGTAGGGACTCCTCAGAGCTGATGGCCTGTGTGTCCCCCATGCAGAGTTCCCAGCTGCTTCCGGCCTGACTCCCTTCCCGCGGCCTCCAGGCCCCGCCCTTCTGCAAACCTTGGCGGGAGATGCACCTGGGGAGCCCTTAGCGTCCACTCCGGGCAGGAGGGAGGGTGGGCAGGCCTCCTCAGGGCCGTTTCCTGTCATCATCCTCCATGTGGGTGGGCACTGCCCCTGCTGCACCGCCCTGTGGGTGTGGGCACTGCCCCTGCTGCACTGCCCTGTGGGGGTGGGCACTGCCCCTGCTGCACTGCCCTGTGGGGGCAGCACTGCCCCTACTGCACCGCCCTGTGGGGGTGGGCACTGCCCCTGCTGCACCGCCCTGTGGGGGCGGAGCTGCCCCTGCTGCACCGCCCTGTGGGGGCGGCACTGCCCCTGCTGTACCACCACATGGGGGCGGCACTGCCCCTGCTCTTGAAGTGGAGTCAGCACAGGCACCTGGTCCCTGGGAAGGGCAGGGGATGTGGGGCAGGCGAGGCTACCTTGCACCGTGAGCTGGATCAGGCCCCGGTCCTCCCCATAGGAGTTGATGGCATGGCAGCTGAAGAACACCGAGTCCCCACGGTCCGCGGGCTTGAGCTGGGGCAGCAGAGGCAGGAGGAGGGGAGAGGGAGGGAAGGGCCTGGTGAAGAGCTGGTCTCCGCTCAGTGCAGTGAGGTCAGCGTGGCCTCTTCTGGGAGGGTGCCCTCTGGGGTTTTGCCAGGGCTCCTATTCCCAGACAGTCCCAAGGATGGACGTGGAGGGAGGGCAGAAGGTCCAGGGGTCAGGAGGGAGGGAGAGTCCAGGGATCCAGGGCGGAGGGTCCAGGGCCCAGGAGGGAGGGAGGGAGGGCCCAGGGCCCAGGAGGGCGAATGGAGGCAGGGGCTCTAGAGAAGAGGGCGGGCTGAGGGTTGCACACAGTTCCTGGCCTGGGGCTGTCAGGAGGAGACAGTGAGGTTCTAAGGCGAGGTTCCTAGCCAGAGAAGGGAATAGCTAGGGAAAGGGAGGTAATTTTGGGGATGAGGGGAGGGGCTCCCCAAACTTCCTATTTAGCTCCATTGGATACAGATGTCACAGCCGTGGGATCCCCACTTCCTGAGAGTCAGGGACCCTGAGCCGGGCGTGGCGCTCACCTTCAGCGTGGAGATGACCTCGTCGCCGCTGTCCTTGGTGGTGATGGCGTAGCGCATCACCCTGTCAGGGTCGATGACCGTGTCCCCCTTCTCCCAGCGGATGATGATGGGCCGCTCACCCCGTGCCGTGCAGTTCAGCTCCTTGGCGTGGCCCTTGATGGCGATGGTGGTGTTGGGGTGGGAGGTGATCATGGCAGGGACTGGGGAGGGAGAGGGCGCGGGAGGCCCCAGTGAGGGAGGCAAGTCCCTCCCCCACTGCCCCTCCCCACGGAGCCCCTCAGCTCCAGGCAGAGGGTCTGATAATGGCTGAGGGGGGCTATAGGGAACCCCATCTGCCTGTTCCCTTTCTCCTTCCCCCAACCCATGACTGGCAGCCTCCCTTCACCAGGGATTCTTCCATTCCATGGGCCCCGTTCAGAATGTTTTAAAATGCACACCATGCCTACAATTACAGAGGAGACCAGATACACTGAAGTATGGCTATCAAATATTAACAACCCTCAGAAGCAAACTTTTGCTATAGTATAGCACACATCCACATGTGAGTTTATTACTCCTGATCACATAGGCCTGGCGCTGGGTCCTGCTAGCAGTTCTGTGATGTGATGGTAATGACGTTTTGAGGTGTCTGCACAGGGAACGCACACACCGGCCTGGTGGTCTCATGGCCGTGATGAGAGCAGATGGCAGAGGGCGCACCGCCCAGGGAGGAGGGTGAGGCCCTGTGGGACAGGCACAGCTGACAGGCAGGACCTCAGGGGAGAGCGGCGCCCTGGGCAGGGGACCTGCTGGAGCGACGCCCGAGGCGCAGGATGCAGCCCCGCTGGCTCAGCGCTCTGACATGTCCGCAGGCCTGACCCTGACCTCACCACCTTCCTGGCAGACTCGCCTCTCAGAGCACAGGCCCCGTGGCCACTGCGGGAGAGGGAGAGCACGTCAGGCACGCTGACGGACAGACTGGGAGGCTGTGAGTGATGGCAAGAGTCAGACACTCCCGCCCGGCCGGCGTGGCTCAGTGGTCGAGCCTCGACTTATGAACCAGGAGGTCACGGTTTGATTCCTGCTCAGGGCACATGCCTGGGTTAGAGGGTTTTCAGTAGAGTCTCTTTTAAAGTTCTATAATTTTATTCATGTTTTACTTGAAAATACCAGAAAGTGTATAAAAGACTCAACGCCGGAGGGATAGCAGATAGTCCATGTGCAGCTCAGTTGACATGACCTTCAGTAGCCTTGCAAGAGTGGACCCAAACCAAATTGATGACGTGTCTCAGGAATAAATGTAAAAGTCTGTGACTCAGTTCAGCTAATCAATTCTTCCAGTGCATGATGAGGAGGACCTGGCTTGACAGGGACTAATGGCAAAAGGCTGAATGAGAATGAGTTTAGTGTGAGCAGATAGAATAACATGGAGATAAGCCAGTGTCTGTATCTGTAGCTGTCAACATTGGCTTCTCTTTAAAATCACCTAGAAGCTTAAAGAATCTCGCTCTCCAGGCAGAACCCCAGAGCAGTGATATGAGAATCCCTGAGAGGCGAGGCCGTGACTAAAGCTTCCCAGGTGACTCCCACATGTAGCAAGGTCACGACCCTCTGCCCTAGACTGCCGCACTAGACAGGGACCGGAGCATGGAAGACAATTTCCCCTTGAAATATCAAGGCTCATAATACTCTGCCCAGTTCGGAGTTTCACATTTGAAATGGAATAATAAGAGAATGCATTTTATTTTTTTTAAATTATTATTGGCCTTGTATGCATATATGCACGGCCCATGGACACAGATAATAGGGTGCTGAAGTTCTGGGGGGAATCAATAGGGGGAAAAGGGGGACATATGTAATAATTTCAATAATAATTATTTTTTAAAAAAAGACAAAAATTAAAATTATCTAAATTCTCTGGAGCAGGCTGGTAGAACTGCCTGGGCAGTGGGCTGAGAGCCTGGATCACCACCCTCCTGGAACAGGTTCCTTTTATTCCTCTTTGGTGCAGTCCCTAACCTTCTCCTCTGGGTGAGGATGACTCCATACCCTGAGAAGCTCACGGAGCTGGGTCTCTAGTCCTCAGGTGGCCGTCCCCTGACTGTGGCCAGTAGGAAGGCCTAACAAGCGGATTGTTTCTGTTGGCCTGTGCAGAAAATCTTTTCCTATTTCTATATCTTCTCTGTGAAATGTCTATTGAAATCTTTTGTTCATTTAAAAATACCGGATTTTTGTATTATGAGTTATAAGGATTCTTTTTTTTTTTAATGCAGGAGGCATTTGCCCTACTGGGGATTAAGCCCGCAACCTGGGCATGTGCCCTTGACCGGAATTAAACCAGGGACCCTTCAGTCCCCTGGCAGATGCTCTATCCACTGAGTCAAACTGGCTAGGGCAAGGATTCTTTATATATATAGTATTCTGGATACAAGTTCCTTATCACAATATACATTGTGAATATTTTCACTTTTTAAATGATGTCATTGGGATAACAGAAGTTTTATATTTT